TCCGCATGCACCGTCTCGGCGCCGTCGGCTACAGACTCGGGCCGTGTGGACGAGGATACGAAGCGTCGTCCTGCACGGCCCGTCGCCGGTGTAGGGTATGCGGACGATGCAGGGCCCGAGACCGGGAACGCCAATCGCCGATGCCTAGCTGCACCACCACTGACCGACCCAGCCACGACTGTAGGCGGGCGTGACAGTCCCATCGCCGACCCACTGCCGACGCGGGGCCTCCCGCCCTCGCCATGGGCCTCGCTCGGCGCGGCCGAAGCGACGGGCGAGGACGCGACGAGCTGCTCGGAATCCTTCCTGACGCGAGTGGCTGAGCGTGACGCTGCCATGGGCACACCCGCCTCTGCCGCCGCTGCGGGTCCTAGACTGGCGCTGAGCTGCTCGATCATGCTCGCATACTGCGTGTCGATAATGTCCGTCTGAAAGTGGCCGAGGAGCGTGTCGAGGAACCACTTCATGCTGCGAACCACGCCGCACGTGCAGCGCAACAGATGCGCGCGCTGCCTCTCCTCGCGCGCATCCACACCGCCCTCGCCCGTACCTGTAAACTTGCGCCGGCCACGCTGGTTCTTGCTGAGCGCCACCCAGCACTCGAGTACGCGCGCGTGGATCTTTTTGATGGCGATCAGGTACGAGAACACGCGCGAATACGCCGCCAGGTCCGCGGGCGACAGGAAAAGATCGAGCGGGAATACGGCCGTGTAGTGCAGTTGCGCCGGCACGCCGATCAGGTAATCGTCGAACCTAGCCGCCCCCGACGCGGCTCCGGTCGGGTTGTCGCTCGAGGTGGTCGAGCTTGCGGTGCCACGCAGCTTGGCCGTGCGCGCGCCCGCCAGGCTCGGTCGATACCCGCCCCTGGGCAGCACGAATCGCAGCCGCTCGAGCGCCGGATCGTCCTCGGCCCACGTGCCCACGGTCGCCCTGCGCAGCGCAAGCTCAAGGTCGCTGGAGCGGATCACGCTAGCTGCGGCAGACCGCGCGCGGTAGAGCTTGTTCTTGCGCATGGTCTCGACCTCCTCGAGCAGCGAGAGGATGTAGGGCCCATTGCGGTGCAGGAAGTAGTCGCCCAGGCAGCGCAGCGACGAGAGTACGAGCGAGGTGGTGAGGATGTTGCGGAAGATCCACTCGGACACGTCGTTTCGCAGCGACTGGACGGCGCGGTCCAGATCCGAAGGCCGACTGGGCCGCACGTTGACGCGGGCCAAGTTGGCTTCGTGAAGCTCGATGACTGCGTCTGGTGGGCCCGAGGGACGACCTGGACCGGAGCGTGCGCCGCCGGAATGCGTGGACAAGGTGCTCGCGGAGCGGATCGTGTAGAGAGCCCGGCCAACGTACAGAATCGAGTCGGCGGTAGAGTCCGAGATGGCGGAGGGGAGGGCATCTTGGCGAAAAGCCCAGGTGTTTGCGGCGGTTGCGGCCCAGTCGGCGAGGCCATCGCCAGGCGCGAGCGCGGCATGGTCGGTGTGGGCATCGGCCTCGGTGGCGTGGATCCAGTGGACGAGCTGATCTCTCGAGATCAAGGTGCGCTTGGAAGCGTTTGGATCTGCGATTCCTCCTGGCCGGTGGATCTCTCCGCGGCATACCCAGGCGACGAGATGCTGCATCCAGCTATCCTCTACCGCGCTGCGCAGCCTCGCCATGTGCGCTGCGACACGTTCGACCCCCGTGGAAGCCTTGAGACTGAGCAGGTCGATGAGCAGACCGCCAGTCCACGCGGCCGGAAAGGCGGAAGCTCCGTCCGACTCGTTCGGCTGTGGCTTCACCTGCTCGGTAGCCTCGAGAGCGAATGCGGCGTCGCGACCCTTGGATGGACCTCTCAAGAGGAGGGTGACGAGTTCGTCGAGGGCAGTAAGGGGTGCATCCCACGGCTCGAAACGGGCTCGTAGGTTGGCTAGACTGACAAAGCCGTTGCGAGCGACAAGATCGAGGTGGTTGTCGAGCACGAGACGCTCTGTCTCGAGAACGAGCGCGTGGTAGTCGGAGAGTATAGAGAGCAGCGTCGAGCACAGCGGAACGAGATGGAGCGTTGGCTGTTGCTCGAGCTCGGACAGCGCATCTTTCCCACTGGTGGTGGAGCTGCGACTGGACAGGGTGTTGGCGCGCAAGGCGGCGCGGACGGCACGTTGTCGGGCCGCTTCGATCTGTGCATCGGCAAATGACTTGATGCGCACGTATCGTGTGGAGTATGTGGCGAGATGATTGAGGATGTCGATCTCGGAGGGATGGAGAAAGTCGAGATCGTCCCTGATCTTGAGCGGACCCGCTGGTGCGCCGTGCGCCGTGGCGGAGGGTGCGGTAGACGAAGATGCAAACAGGCTCGACGGATGGCCGGCCAGCATGGCCAAGAGCTCGGCGATCATTCTGCAATGTCGGGAAAGGATGGCAGCCGCATCTAAGCGTGGGATTCTCTGGATGGCCGTCGAGATGGTGGGTCGGATCCAAGCGCGCCAGGCCGGATGAGCACAGGAGAGTGTTGGTCTCTCTGCTGCTGCTCTTTACCGCGACGCGTTCCAGGCGAAGTGGGATTCTTCGAATTTGTTACGTCTGCGGTGTTCGAACATGCTACGAATTTTCGCAGGTGGAGGCTGAACCGCGCAAACGGCGGATGCAGATCATGCAGACGTGCATGAGGAGGAGCGGCAAAGCAGAGCGAGAGAGGGTCCCAGATGACGTTGAGTGGACAAAGCGAACGAAGTTCAGCGCGGCTTGCAAGGCGGAGTCAGCAAAGCACAAGGCCGTCTTCCTCTCGCACAACCACCATCATGACCTCCCTATACAACAAGATCCGTTCCGTCTCGTTCGACGTGCTGTGGCGCACGGCGCTCGTGCGTCTGCCGCGCGCCGTGCCGCTCTCGGCCCTCAAGTGGACCTCGCCCGAGGGCCCGCATCCATTCATCTTCCAGATGCCGTCCAGATCCGCCGACTACACAATACCGCTCTACATCTTCATTCCCACCCGCTTCTACAACGACTGGCCATCCACTGGCGCACCCGTGCTCGTCGACTTTCACGGCGGCGGCTTCTACCTCGGCTCGTGCCTCGAACAGGCGCCCTTCTGCTCGAGCATGGCGAGGCAGCTTGACTCGATCGTCATCAGCGTCGACTACCGCATGGGCCCTTTCCATCGCTTCCCGGCTGCCATCGAGGATGGCGAAGACGTGCTCAGCGCCATTCTTGACCGTGACTTTGCCGGCTACGAGCCGCTACGCAACGCAATCGCCGCGAGAGTACACTCCGAGAAGGCCAAGCTCGCAAAGAGCGGCGCAGAGGCACTTGCCGAACAGCACAAAGCGGAGCTGCAGCAGGGCAAGATCGAGCAAGTCTCTGCACCTCCGACCTCGAACCCTTCTTCAGCTGGTGCTGCTTCCTCCTCTTCGTTCGACTTCGACGCAAGCAAGGTCTCGGTCTCGGGATTCAGCTCGGGAGGCAACCTCGCCCTCAACTTGGCGCTCCACATTAAGCCGCCTGAACTCGACATGGAGTGGCCCAGCAAGTTTGCGCAAGATCATCCCGCACCCATCCCACTGCTGCTTTTCTATCCGTCGTTCGACCTTCGCCAGCTACCCTCTCAGCGATCTAGACCACAACACATGGCACTCCCTTCACCCTTTTGGACCAAAGTGGCCGACGCTCTCGCACCCACCTACGCCGAGCAGGAGCAGACGCACCATCCGCGTGTCTCGCCGGGCCTGGCGTCGCTCGAGTCGCTCCATCCCGCAGCTCGCGTGTTCCTGGTGCTGTGCGAGCTCGACACGCTGGCCGAACAGTCGAAAGAGTGGGTTGCCAAGATGCAGAATCACGAGCGTACCGAGCACCTCGTCGTCGAAGACGTCGCCAACATGAAGCACGGCTGGACCCAGATGCCCGACGGCTGGCTCTCACCCGAAGAGAAGCAAGCGAAAGAGGCTGTATTCGCCAAGGCGATCGCGTTCGTTCAGTGGGCCTGGAATGGATCTGATGGCGACACAAAGCCCCGATCGGAAGTAATCGTGCCTCAGAAAGACACGGAGCAAGTATCAAAGACCACAGTGTCGACAGCATCGATGGCGGAACAAGACTAGAATTCAAACAGCGACGACGACGGACCAACTATAGCAGGCGGCTGTCTTGCATTGCGCGGATCCACTCCTCGGGCGTGCACGCCGGTCGGGGGCCGTGCTTGGTGTCGTTGATGTCGATGCCGACCTTGGCCCACGCGCGTGCAAGCTCGGCTTCGCGGTAGCTCGGCAACTCTTGTTGCACAGCGGTCTTCTTGGGGCTGCGGTGCAAGAGACGACGGAAGAAGCCGACCTTGCCTCGAGGCTTTTCCGAAGCACTCTCGTCGTACGGAGGTGGAAGCGTAGAGGACTCGATAGAGGACTGTAATGTGCCAAACATCGTGTTAGCAGCACGTTCGCGTTCAAAGGAATCAGCGAGTGGAGAAGATCGACATACTGTGCGGACAGAGGTACCGGCTGCGCTGTGCGCGGGCTCGATGCGCTCCTCTTGGACATAGGACTGGATCTGGTACTCGACGCACTCCCGCATGCCGACGTCAGCAGAGGCGTGCACGTCGTTGAGCTCGTCGGTGAAGCACATTGTGGACAGGTAGAGGGGATGGAGTGTGGCAGGAGCAAGGCGAGTCGAGTGCAGGAAAGGCGGGGGAGTGGAGAGAGGATGCGTTGGTCTATGAGGATGAGGGTGTCTGAGCTGGAGCTGCGGAGGGAAAGGACATTTATAGACGAGATGTTGAGGCAAGCTTTGCTACGCTCGCTCGGGGAGAGTGCGCTGTGGCACCGCACTTTGCATTCGGGACCAGCATCGACGCTCGGATCGCTGCTGAGCATGGATGAGCCGGCTGACAGGTGTCAAGACCCCAATCGTGCGCTGCTGTGATGAGGATGAGGCATCTGGCACACGCTCGGTGGGGCCCGAAAAATCGCAAATTGCAGCGCCACAACGCGTCAAAACCCTCGTCCACCGAAACCTCCGCCAAAGGTCCCACCGCCAGACTAAGCCCTGTCCCCGTCCTGCTGAGTTGACTCCTGCTGGGACTGGTCGGATCGCGTGAAGAGCTGCGACATCATGTCTGCCATCATAGCGTCGATGTCCGAGTCCACCGGCGAGGGAGGGTCGCCCAAATCGGGCAGCTCGGTGATCGTCGCTGTCGGCTCGCCTGCCGTCTTGACGTTCTCGGTAGCTTGCTCGATCAGCGCCTCCGCCACTTCGGGATTGGCTTCGACGAACTCTTCCACGACGCGGTCTATGCGGATAACAAGCGCGTCCACGTCGCCAATGTCCAGCACCAGTGCAAAGAAGCCTTCGCGGTCGAAAATGGCCAGCTCGGCCAGCGCTCGCGACACCAAAATTGCAGGGTACTGCGAAGCGGCCGGCATGATTGGACAGCTAGCAACGTCAGAGCGATGAGAATGCAATGCAATGGTAGAGGAGACAAAAGTCGATACGATATCAAAAATGGATGAGGAAGTCGGGAGTCTGAGATGGATGAGAGGGGCTGATAGGGTAGAGGGACAGAAATAGCGACCACCAGTAGCCTTTTTGTACTCGATGCCGGACTGGAGTATGCGCACAGAGGTGTAGATCTCGACTTGATGGCAAGGCTCAGTCGCTCGCTGGGCGCACAAATGCGGAAGCCCCAGCAGCGGCCTGCTCAGCCTCGAGTAGAGTTTGCGGCCGATGATGCGGGCTAGGCTGCGCAGACTGAGAGCTCCGTCTCGGCACGGAGGTATCGCTGCACACACGCAAAGCTTGTGTCGCCTTGAAAGCTTTGTGTCGCCGCCGTACCGCCGCTTTTGGAACGAAGAGCTTTGAGCTCAACGGATGGGATGGACAGCGGGTGAGGCGTAGGAGACGCGATCAGAGGGGTCTATGGATGCCAAACTTGCCCTCGTAGGAAGCCGAAGGACATAGATTGCCCTGATCTGCTGAGCCTCTCCAATCTCCTTTACGCAACAAAGATAACTTTTCAAGAGCCGCCGCTCTGTCTTAGGGTCCGCACTCACTGCAGTGTTATCACCAGCTCACTCAAGAAATGAAACGACTTCAAACAAAGTAAATTGGTCGCAATGCGAGCAAGGATGGTCTGTATTAGGGAGTGAGGGGGCAAGCCGAGTCTGACAAAGAGCGAAGAGGAGGAGTGGACGGCCGATGGAGTCAGTCGTCACGAATCGCCAATTAGACCTAGTGGCGCTCGCCATTGTGGTGGTGACCCTTGCCAGGGTGATGACCCTTACCAGAAGTCTGCTTCTGAACCACGTTCTGGTGGCTGCTGGACTGGTGGCTGCTCGAGCCGTGGCTGGTTGAGCGGCTGATCGAGTTGCTGTGAGCGCCGACGTAGTTTCGTCGAGCCACGGGACGGCCCGAGTGACCGATACCGCAAACAGCAGCGTTGGGGATGTAGCGGTCGGGAGCCGCGTTGGCGTCTCCACCGTGTCGAATGCTGGCGAAAGCCTGCTCGAAAGACGGCACGTTCTTCTCGTCGGTCCTCTGGCAACCGGTGCGGTCGATGTGGGCCTGAGAGCACTTGACCCTGCGGGGCTGACCGGCCATGTTGACCGAGTCACCCCACTCGTTCATGCGCCACAGGCAGCCGTGCTGCAGGTCGGCTGGCAGCTTGTGGCATCCAGCAGCGTCATGGTCAAGCCCGCCGTACTGCTTGCCCCAGACAGAAATGTCGGTCTTGAACTGCGCAGGGCAGCCCTGGGTCATGAGACCAATGCCCATGCCGGGTACGAGGATGTCGAGTCCTCCACCACCCACGTCGGCACCAGTGTTGATCACCTGGTAGAAGAGCGTCTTGACCTTGCCCGGCTTGGCACCGGCGAAATCGAGCACATAGCAGGCGCAAGCATTCTCGGATTCGGTCTGGGTGGTCATGGCAGCAAAAGCATAGCCCAGCTCCGGATTGGCGTGATCAGTCCAGGGCTGCTGGCACGAGCACTGGAACTGGTTTCCTCCGCCACAGCCCGACGACTTAGCATCGTTGAGCTGAGGACCGGTCACAACCGTCTTGCCATCGGCGAAACAAACGGCAACCGGGTTATAAACCGGATTCGCTTTTCCAGGCCACGAAGCGGATGGCTTGCAGCAATCGTAGTACATCGTCGCAGCGTTGGCTGCGACGAGAGGGGTCCAGATGGCCGTGGTGGCGGCGACGACGAAGGCGACGAGCATGGTCGACTTTTGCATGGTGGACGCCATTTTTATTTTTATTTTTATTTATTCTTTTTTTTGGTGGTAAAAATGTGGACTGGGCACATAGAGGAGTGGAGAAAAATACGACTGTCGGGCGATTCCTGTCAAAGGAAAGCAAGGCAAGGAAGAAGAGCAAGGGATTTGAACTCGCACAGCAAGTCTGGGGGATTGGTGAGGGCGCAAGTAAGAAAGGAAAGGCGGATGGAGATGAGGAGCGCAAAGGAAAGGAGAACGGGGAATGAGCTGATATTTATATGCGAGCGAACGACGATGCCAGCCCCTCTTTCTGAGCCTTGACGGAGGGGACACACTGCCAGCTGCTCCCCATGCAAGCTGGTCCTCATGCAAGCATCGCGTTTGCTTTCCAGGGGAAGGGACTTGAAGTGCCGTCTGCCGTGGGTTGCTCCCTGCCGTGGGTTGGGAGCACCCCAGAAACGGCAAACGCACATCGGAATGGGGTGGCGATGCAAGTGCCCCTGCTCGCGCACTAGGTGTTTGCACACTTGAGACCTGGTCTCATGAGGCTGTTGGTGGGATCTTACGCCGACAAAAGCCACGTTGAGCAAAAAATCGCGCAATTCATATGATGGCAGCTGTTAACTTCGGTCAAAGCTGGCTCCGACCACGAGATAACATAGCCTTACAAGTCTGAGGAGATGACAATGACATGTATCGATCGTCCACTTATCGTACCAGCCCAATTTCGGCAATCATACTCAATACAGTATTGACATGCTCTTTTCGAGTGACGTGAGAGACTCGTTTTGAGTTTTGCAGCTCCTCACGCGGGTTGGCGCGACGGGCTAGGAGTTCATGTGGCTTGACAATGTACGAGGAGGTGGCTGCTGATCCACGCTGCACCAGGACATGCATCGGTGCGGCTTTGTGCCTGTCGACCAGCGATGCGCACGAAGCACAACGACGCCGCATCTCATATGAAAGAGGGAGGGGGACCGACCGAGCCTCGCTTCCTCCTGCTCATTGCCGCTTTCGCAACTTGACAGCTCGAAATTCGACGCTCCTTTTTTGATAAAATCCCACAAAAATCCAGGGACAAAGAAATTCCGTCAAAAATGGCAAGAAAACATGAATGTTTTTCGAATCGGGAATGGCAGGCAGTTGTGCATCGGCGTTGGTGGAAGCACCGATCGATCACCACAGTGCGGCAGCTGCAGGTGAGGGCGCGGGTGTTGTGCTCTGCTGCTGCTGCAACTTTTTCGCGACGCGGATTTCTCAGAGCGGAGGAGCGCTGGGATCGGCTCCAGAGACTCGTCCAACTCAACTCGACTCGATCTTCTCGCTCCTCCACCACCACTTCCTCTCCTGCACGCTTGGCGGTCGCTCTCCATCCTTTCGTCTTGCCGCAACATCGTTTCCGCACCCTGCACAAGTGACGGATCCAGCGACCAGGGAGAGAAGCGCATCACCACCACCGTCTCCCACCACACACTCAATCTCTTCGCGACAGCTCGGATGCACTTCTGAGCTCGCTGTCCGGCCCTCGTCTGCACTCGACGCTTTCGTCAGCATCTCTAGCGACCTGGTCACGTTCATCGACCGTCGCGTCTAGCTTTCGCGCAGCTCCCTCGGCGTTCCCACCTCCACAAGCGCCACCATGCCGGCCCTTCCCGCCGCCTCCACCTCGCCCGGCGCAGCTGGCATCGCCGTCTTCGAGCCAGCACGCTTCGAGCGCCTTCATCGCATCATCAACGAGGCCGCTTCCAACCCTGTCCGCCTTGCCCGCTCCAACGACTGGTTCGTCACCATCGACAGGAATCGCTCCGACCTCGCAGACCTCGGTAGAGTGCGCCCCTCCTCCGACCTCGAGCGCAAGGAGATCGAGTCTGGCAAGATCACCATCAATGGCAGCACTCAGAACTTAAACCCCGACTTTGCGCAGCAGTCGCTCTTGTTGGCGCGCGAACTCGGCGTCTCGGAACACTTTGCCGCCTCCTTGCTCCAGCAGGGCATCGCAGGTCGCGCAAAGTGGGGCCGCCCCGCAGTCGAAGTCGCCTGCATCCTCCACCACCGCGAGCGCCTCGCCCTCCTTGCCTGCCTCAAGGAGCTCCTCCGCAATGCGCTCACCATGCCGTTCGAGGACGACGTCGAGGCGCAGCGCATGGGCCTCAAGATGGAGCAGCTCGTCGAGTCGCTCGTCTCCATCGAGACCTCGGTCAGCTCCCCCGGCTCATCCACACGCAAAGTAACGCTCGCGGAGAGGATCCTCGTCGAAATCGACAACGTCAAGGCCTCAGCAGCCCGCGTCAAGGCGTCGCTCGAGTCGCCCCAGGCCAACCAGGCCATCCAGACGCAGACGTCCAACTTCCTCGGCCTCGGCACCGCACAGTCGGCTGCCAACAACAACAACAACACAGCATCCGCATCCACCTCCGCACAAGGCAGGCTCAGCGATGAGATCCAGCTCGACCGTCGCGCATGGCTGCGTGAGGAGCGACGCGAGCTCGGCCATCTCCTCTACCTCCTCTCCATCTCGTCTCTGCTCACCCCTTCCAACATCTCCGCAATCCTCCGCTGGCTCGCTGCCGTTTCTGCCGAGACGTACGACGAGATGACCATCTACGTCCTCACAGCCCTGCTCGGTGCGCTCGACGCCAATCCCGAAGCCCGCGCTGCCATGGCCGAGCGCGCAAGCCGGGGAACGCTCCGCAAGACCGTCGAGGACCTCCTCGACGATGAATCCTTCATCACCTCCACCCACGCCGAAGTCACACGCAAAAAGTGGGCGCTTGGCGAGCTCAACAGCGCTGTCGCCCTCCAGTGGTCCCTCTTCCTCGTCGAGGCCTTCTCTCGCAACCCGACCTACCGCAGCCAGCTCTCCATCTCCGACGAGCAGATCCAGGACATCGTGCTCCAGTCCATCACCGGCTCGTCACTCTCCAAGGATTCAAAGCAGGCGTCGGGCGCAAGCTCGGCCACCGAGGGTCCCTCGGGAGGCGCATTCATCTTCCTCGTCGTGCGCATCCTCGCTTTCCGTCAAAAGACCATCGACGCTCTCTTCGGCGAAGAGGAGGGGGCCATCGCTGCTGAAGCAGATGCCGCTGCCGCTGTCGCTGCAGCAGACCTGATGGAGAACAACGCTTGGGACGACGAGGTGGATGCCGAATTCCGCGAGTACGTCGTGCAGCAGATCCACAATCTGGCAGTCGGCACCACCTCGGTCATGCTGCCAATGCTTCGCCGCATTCAGCGTTCCGAGGAGGACGCTGCATTTGCTCTTTCCCGCGGGCTGGCTGCCCGCGCAGGCGGCTCGGCGCCACCAGAGCGCAGGTACGACATCGAGGCGCTCTTTGACCTCATCGCGCTTCTCTGCCGCGGACGATCCGAGGCTGGCTTGCCGTTCTGGGTGGGTCCCGACAATCGCACCACGCGCTTCCTTACCTGGGCCATCGACGTGCGCGAGCCAGGTCACCAGCGCGCGCTTCTCAACATGCTCTCCGCCATGTCTTCGGGTCCGCAGAGCGCCAGCCAGGCGTATGCCTTGCTGGACCAAGAGAGCGGATCCAACGGCGCTGCAGGCGAAGGTCGCCTCGTGTCGTGGAGCCGATTCTTTGAATGGATCACTTACTACATCGACACCTTCCACCAGGCCGTCTCGTCATCGTCGTTCCATTCGTCCAGCTATCAGACACTCGCCATGCCCAAGAACGAGGAGACGCTTCTGGTCGGCTTCTTGCGCCTCTTCCGCAACGTCATCTTCTTCTCGCAGCCCGCTCGCGACGCGCTCCTGCAAAACTCGACCTACAACGCTCTCGACAAGCTCTTTTCGCTCCTCACATGCCCCGTCCCCGTCGAGCTCAAGGCGAGCATCCTCGATGCGCTCTCGGCCTTCCTCCACCACGGCTCGAGTGGTCCCACCGCACGTGCTCGATTTTCAGCCATCGCGACCCAGCTCTGGGACCGCTTCGACGAGTGCGGTCTGTTGCCCACGGATGGCGCTGCTAACAAGTCGCGTCTGGGTGCTGAGCAAACGCCGTCGACCGCCTTTGGGCCTTCCTTCAAGCCGCTCGCTTCCAAGGGCGTTCTGTACGAGCTCGAGAACTTTGAAGTGCCGCTGCGCACCTTCCCTGGTTCCACAAGCTTTGTCAACTTCCTCAAAGCGCTCGTCCAGCTGCCTTCGTCCGCACTGGCCGCCGGCTCCTCGGCGCTCGCGGACAACTCATCTGTTCCTACAACCGGCGCCAATCCCTTCAACACCATCGTCGAGTACGGCCAGTCCGGCCAGCAGACCTCCCACTCGCAAGGCCCTTCTTCATATCAGCAGCAGCCACAGCAGTCGCAACAGCAGCACAATCAACGCCGCCACCTTCGCTCGGTCGAACGATACGTCGACTTTGTCATCGACCACGTCTTCCTTAAGGCACGCACGCGCGATTACGTCGAGCCGGCGGAGCAGTGGCGTGTCGTCGCAGCGTGCCTCGACTTTGTCGATCGCTCGCTGCGATCGTACGATCTCGCCGCGCTCCTTCGCACCAGCGAGGGCGCCGAAGCCGTGGCCGATCCGTCTCTGCTTACCACGCTCGCCTCGCATCCCGGTTTCTTCTTGATGCGCCGCATCCTCACCGGCTCCAAGATGGTCGGCGAGATGCTCGGCATCCTGGTTCCTGGCTCCGGTCTTGCCGCCTTCGAGGCGATCAACCAGAACCGCGCCAGCACCTTCTTCTACGGCAGCTCGGTGCGACACGTGCTCAGCATCCTTGATCGCGTTCTGCGATACCAAGACCTCTTTGTCCAGGTTCTGCTTCCCACGCTGGTCGACTCGAGCCTCAACGGAGTGCAGTTGCCGTTTGACGTCTCGGCTCGTGTCGGCAACTCGGGCTCATACAGCAGCTTCGACATCCAGCTGCTGCACGCGCACGAGTCGGTCGTGCAGATTGCGCTGCTCATCAACTGCGTGCGTGACGACGTTGCGCTGCTCTCGGTGCGTTTGCTCGGCCTCATCGCACGCACCGCCGCCTTTAGCGCCGTCGATCGCTTCGGCGAAATGGGTTACCGCCGCAAGATGAACCGTCTCGTCGGACTCCTCGAGATGAGCGACGAGGCAGGACGTGTCAAGGCCGGCTACGTCGGCCGACTCGAGGCTGAGCCGTCGGGCGATGCGGCAGGAGCCAAGCTCCTCGAAGCGCTTACCGCGCTCGCCGGAAACGCAGACTATGACCAGGATGATGATGCCGATCTCGTCTCCTCTGATGTCAGTGCCAGCGCGGCACTGGGCTCGGGCGATGCCGTCGAGGCCATCCAGATCGCCATCGTCAACCTCCTGCTCGCAGGCACCGAGGCTAGTCAGCCCGCACCGAACGTCGCCCACTTGCTTCTCGGCTACGACCTGCGAGCGGTGCGTCCCGAGGAGCAGGTAATTGTCGATCCGGACGCAAACACGGCTGCGCCCAGTGCCATCCACGCCATCCTCGCCTTGCTGCGCCCTGAAGTCGACGGCGAAGGCTCCACTTTCCTCAGCCTGGCCGAGCGATCGCCGGGCTTCGCTGAGAAGTGCTGTGCGCTCCTGTTGCGACTCTGCACGCACCCATTCACCAGCGCAGCAACGCTCCGCTACCTGCGAACCAAGGAAGACTTTGTTGTCCAGCAGCTGCGCAGCCTTCCACTCGTGCCGGCCGAGCGTCCCACACTGACGGACGACAGCACGGCTGCGCTGGGTCTGGTGCAGTTTGCCGACGGTCAGAACATCGAGACGACCGTGGATCGAGTCACGGCCTCGCTGCGCATGCGTGCATCGCTGCTCGAGCTCACTGCGCTCGAATTGCACTCGCTGCTCAACGCCAACATGCAGTCCCGCGCCGCTCGCGTTGTGGCGGCGCTCTTCGGATCCAATGCGACCGTCGGCGGCGTCGATGCGGACGACAGCGTCGACGAGGACGATGCACTGCTCGGCACCGAGCGGGATTTCCGTCTCGGCGCAGGTGGCGCCGAGGTGCGCACCTTTGGCGGCGTCCGCTTCCTCGAGATCCTGCAGAGTCTCGACTTTGAGTGGTACGATGACCGCGAAGCGCTGGGCCAGGGCATCACCGTCATCAACCCGGAACAGCTCGAGCTCGCCAAGCGACCCGACGCGGCGCTGGGACCCCGACTGTACGATTTAGGTGCGGTGCTCGCCGTACTGGTGCGTGAGAAGACGCTGCTTCAGCAGAAGGGAAGCTTGCGCGATGCAGGCCAGGCGAACCCATTCCTGGAGCAGGCTGCCTTCGTCCTGCAGTGGGCGGCTGCGCAGAACGCCAAGAAGGCCGTCGCCTTCTCCCGCCGACGGGTGCTGCAGGCGTGGCGACAGACGCTCGACATGGTGCTGGCTCGCGCTGCTGGCCTGCTCCGCACCGAGGCGCGATCGGGCCTCATGTTCGACTGCCTCTCCGAGCTGCTGCCGCGCATTTCGGCGCCTTCGAACGACGCGGCGGGGCTCGATGTGCCCTCGGCGGACCTCGTGGCGGGCGCCGTGCTGTCGCTGCTGACCTCGCTTCGCCAGCACCGCGTGGAGTTGACGACGGGCGCGCTCGACCTGGAGACCGTGGATGCGCTTCCCGTCGACCGCCTGCTGACCACGCTGCGCGCGCTCGTGGACTCGGTGCTGCGAATCGAAACGACGACGCTAGCGCGAGGCAACCTTTACTCGGCGCTCATCAACTTCCTCCAGCTGGTCAAGTCGGGCAACGGCAACGAAGCCGGCGTCGACGCGGGCGCCAACGATGGAGCCTCGATCATCGCCACCGACGTCGACGAAAGCATGTCCGTCGGCGGCGTATCGACCACGACGACCAACATCTTTGGTGGACGTGCGCAGACGAGCACGCTCGAGGCACGCACGCGCACGCTGCTGCTCTCGCACGCCGAGCGCCTTATGGATGTGCTCGCGCGCGACGCGCTCGATGCCAGCGATCTGTCCAAGACGATCGCATTCACGCTGCTCGACAAGCTGTGTGCGCTGGATGCGCCGGCGTCGGCGAGTGGCTCGTCGCGCCGCGGCGGCTCGCGATGCCTCGACCTGCTGGATCGCAAGGGCTACATTAAGAGCTTTGTCACGGCGCTGCGCGACTCGGACCTGGCGCTGCAGGAGACGCTGCGCCCCGACCCGGCGAGCCTCAATGCGATCTATGTGTACGAGGCGCGTCTGGCGTTCTTGAACCGCATGGCGCAGACACGCGACGGCGCAGAAAGGCTGCTGAGCGCCAAGATCTTTGATGTGCTGGCGCAGTCCGACTATCTCGCGGCGCGGCCGGACCAGGATCAGGAGTTCGTCGACCTCGACAGCTTCCTGCCTGCGGCGACGGAACGCTACAATGCGCTGCTGACGCCCGTGCTACAGCTGACCACCAGCATCCTCGCCAGCGCCTCGGCCACGGGGGCCGTGTCGAGCCACGGTGCGTTTGGCGGGCCTAAGGGACTCGCGGCTACCTCGGCGTCGGCGGCGCCCAGGCATGCATTGGCTCTGCTCACGGCGCACCGCGATGCGCTGCTGACGGTGCTGCGTGCGCCGCTGCAGGAGTTCTGCTCGTACGCGCAGCTCGGACAAGCCCACCTGGTGGTGGCGATCTTTGTGCTGATGATGCCGGCGCTCGACGATGATGCGCAGCAGGCGCCGAGCCCGCTGGCGCCTTTCCACACGGCGATCGTGGCGCTAGCGGCGACGTATCTACCGACATCGGCGTGGCGCTCTCGCATCGTTCCTTACAACGAGGCGGAGCGCGAAGAGGCGCGTGTGCGCACGGCGTCGCTCCGCGCGCTACCTGGCGTTGGCGAGGCGAATGGCGGAGTGGGTGTTGAGGAGGAGAGCGCATTCGAGGCCAAGGTGGGTGCGATGGTGGTGCGGATGCAGATGGCGCTGCTGTCGTATCTGGAGGGTGCGAGCGATGCGCGTGGCAATGCAGCGGCACGGGTGCGTGCAGTGCTGATCCCGTCCATGGCAGCGTACCGCGAGCGATCGCGCACTCCGTACGGCGTGGATGATGGAGCGGATGGCGATTCGTCCCGCGCGGGATTATTGCGTTCGCAGCGCGCGTCGGCTGCCGCATCGACGGTACCAAGTCTGGGCAGCCTGGTGGCTGCGCTGGACGAGTATGCGGACTCGATCGCCAAGGAGCTGCAGGCGCTCGAGAACATCGAGACGCTGCTGGAGAACATGGATGCGGTGCGACAGGATGAGCTGGACGAGATTGCACGCGACGCACTCGGCGATGCGGGGGTGGGCGAGCTGTCGCCCGCACAGCGTCGATCGGTAGCCCTGCGCCACCTGCGCACGCGCAAGGCCTCGCTCCGCGCCGCGTCTACCTCGAAACTCGACGCGGTCGAGCTCATCCTCGTGCTGCTCATCCGCCACATTGACTTTTTCCGCACGCTCACCACTGACCGCTCCACCGCCGCCGGTCTTGCGCGCAGCTCGCCGGTGCCTTCGCTGCTCGGTGCAGCAGCCAACAACCTGGACCGCTCCAACCTCATGCAGGCGCTCGCCGAGAGCTTGCTGCCCATCGTCGAGGACAAGATCGGGTACCTCTCGCTCCCGCCCGCGCTCGTCGCCAATGCAAGGGAGCGCCAGAGTTTCCTCCAGATGGCCGGACGCCGTCTTGCCAACTTCTTCACCGATGCTGAGTAGAGACACGTCACTCTTTTCACATTCAGAATCAATACTGTTTTCCCGATCCAGTCCGAGATGTGTCATGAGGCGTGTGCAGCTTAGCTTGCCCACTGACGTTGGGTTGTAGGTATGATGCTGCGGTTTGCGATACTTGTAACCTTCGTTGGACTAATAGGATAGATACGCAATATCACGTCAGCTCGCCATGAAAGCGTCCGAATTAGTTTAGTGGCTA